AAATTGGCAAAAAGATGTTATTAATCCGAATACAGGAAAAAGAGGCTAAAACAGCACCTGGACATGGATGGCTGGTGCCTCTATAAATAAATCATTGATGGTCTGGTCTGGTTAAAACCATGCGCGTTATTATTAGAACATAAGTGCAAGCAACAAAAGAAGTTGAATAGGGTTAATAAACTGTTTATTTGATTTGAAGTTTTGTTTCCAAAATTGTCAATGTGTCATTATTATTCACTTTTGCTTTTTTTTATTTATACAAAATGGATCTAAATCAGGCTATTCGCAAAAGATTTTACTTGTTGCATTCGCAAATATGGCACTGTTTCTCATCTGTTATGTAACCATTCTCACAGTCAACTCCTCTGTGGTTGGTGCTTGGGTGTTTGGAGCTTGGGTGGTGGAAGGTTGAATGACGTTGAACTGGCATATGTAAGGTTTCACTTCTTCGAAACGATATCCTTTACAGGGGTAATCAATCCAAGTCCCATTGACAGGATCAATTGTGGCGCAAGCATCTATTCCGGCATGAAACCTCTCGCCTTCGTTAGGTGCCCAGTTTTCGTACTTTACATCACTACCGTCGGCCCAGGTGAATTTTTTCTCTCCATTTGCGTCGTCCAGACCTATCCACGTGTCATACCGCTCATTGTAGGTATCATGAAGCTCTGTTTGAATAAAAGAATTAATCTCTTCCGACTTGATTAGAGCCAGAAGTCCACCTTTCTGTGAGCATTCTCTTGTGGCAGTATAGAAATGACGATATGTTGTCACAGCAAACTCGTAACAGATGCCTTGAAAATACTGTAAGAACTTGTCCCGTGGTAGCTTAGACGGACAGTTGTCTACGCTGGAAGTGCTTCCTGGGATTAAAAGGAAAAAGATATGTGTCATGTGGAGCTTTCCGTCAGCGAGGAATCCACAAAATTTTGTCAATGAATTAAACGTAAATGACCTGATAACATTATCATGGATACATTGAGAAGGGTGAACCATTGATTTGACAGAAAACCTTGAAAATTCAAGTATTCGTTTGTGGCCAAGAAGCATCCTTCGTTTTAAAATCCAGATTGCATTTGTTCCGCGCTTTTCGCGCTTTCCTGTTAAAAAGATTACTTCCCGTTGATACAATTCAATAAATCTTTTTGGAGACGACAGCTTTAATACAACATTGTAAACCTTTTTTTTTCTCTCCTATCCAAAGAGTTTGGTACAGTATAGTTTGACACTGTCAGGTATGGTACGGTATTTTAAACATTGCATATTTGTGTTTCTGTATGAACTACAATCCTCTCAGCGAATGACATGTCAGACCTTTATGCCATCCATGGGCCTTAGATAGGTGCGTGGATTAACACTCCGCTGTTTTTGTTTTTATATTTGCTTTGTTTTGTTTTGTTTCCTTAAATTATTCTCTGGCTAAGAAAGAGAAACTGACAGTGGCGCATTCTGTTATCGCAAAACTGACAACAAATTCTTGCCTTAGTATCCAAAGCAAGCAAAAGTGTAAAACAAAGGATGAACAAGGAATATGAATGCTATTTTTAAAGAACCTTTTCAGGCTATGACATTACGGTAGTATATGAAAGTTAAATTTTTTTCTTTTCATCAATTTATGTTGTAAAACGTTCTGGTAAATTTAAACAGGTTTATTTGTAGTACGTAGGTTGCATATGAAGAAAAATATTGATAACAATTATATTGCGCGCTTTCACTGTGACAACCAGTTTTCATCAGGTAGCGGTTAAATGTTCGCTACAAGCTAGTATCTTTAATAGGTTATTAGTCCGACGTTACCTTATAAAGCATAATAAATCTAAGACCGGTATTGTGGGAGAACTCTGTAACTTTTATGACACTGGGCAGCTTCCAGACAGCATCTTCAATTTCTTAGCAAACAATATCGGCGTCGATTACATTTCTCTTGTTACATAAGAGACATGTAATAGTATTATAATTCTAAACGACATCTCTTACCTAATCCCAGCACAAGAAAGAGGACGAGGAGAGAGCTAAAAGACAACATAGCGACTGCTGACTTTGACTTTAAATCTCTAGTAAGAGCAAGAAATCCTGACTTTCTCAAGGTTTTGAGTGTGCATCTTTTATATGGTTTGCATTCATTAAGAAAAGAAGACAAATTCGTTCTAGATTTTCTATTATTAGGTCAGCTACTAGACCTAAAAGTATCCGATTGCAGAAACCACGCCTTCTTGGAGAAAGGCTAAAGGAGATTAGGTTCGAGTCAAAAAGTAATACAAGTTGCCCGCTATTTTCACTGGTATCTAGTCACGAGTGTCTTATATTTTCAGCCCCACCTGGATTTCTTTAATAAAATGCTACATCTGATGATTTTAATCAAAAGAAACATTTCACAATAGTTTGTAAAATGGAACAAAAACATTTTCCGAAGAAAAGTCGCAATACTAAGACACAGAGTCATAACTTGAAAGGCGATCTGATTGGTTTTTATATATACTGTCACTTACGACGATTATAGCTCTATCCAATCAGGTAGTTTTTCGGTTGAGGATGTTGAAATGTCATTGATGTGGTCCTGAAGCCCCGATTGCTTTGTTCCAACAGATTGAATATAATTGGGGGGGTGG